TTCTTTCTTTAAAATCCTCAAATACCAATTAAAAAAAAAAAAAAGAAACCAGTGACAACTACTTATCAACTGCTACAAATTACCAAAATCAAGCGTACATATTGTAGGTCAAAATTTTGATACGGAAGTGAGCATTATCAATAAGTAATTTCTTGGCCGACAAAAGCAAACATATATTTCTCAATTTTCTTCAAAATTCAACAAAATATTATTTTTCATTCTTTTCACCATATAACCTTCTGCTGTAAAAATAACCAATTCAGAAAATTAAGTTCAACAACTTGTTCACCAAGCCATTCCTAGCCACCTTATCATCAATTATGTCACGTGTGTCCCTAGGTATATCTAAACCTTCAAGTCCAGAAACACAGAGTGGAAACTATGTCTCATAAATTCTTAAACTATCCCTAATCTCAAAGTAAATTGTACAAACAATTCATCCGGAAGATGTATAAGCAAATAAAGGAGATGAGCTTTGAAGTTCATAATTCACGTACCTTGTTAACCCTGTTGTCGTCAATAATAATTTGAATCAAGGGAGAATCTTGACGTTCCTTGTTTAATAGATTATGTAAATGGCTAATGGTCTTTGAATCTCCAACTACGTTTTTACAGATAATTTACACATAAATAATTTGTTTCACACACGTTTCTTTGCACAAATTGTCTTTGAAAACTGATTTGAGAAAAAATATGTATGGATGAGGAAGAATACTACTTACATAATAGCTTGTAAAGAACTAGGACATGTGTCTTCCTTCAAGAATGCTTAAAGAATCATGTACCTCTTAAAATTCAGCATTTGAGACTAAATACTTATTAAAACTCTGATTAAAACTCTGATTAATTTGAGACTATATATATAATTGTATTACAAATTATATAAAACTCTGATTTCATGTGAGACATGTTTGGATAAATTAATTTGGTGAAGATCGAGTTTCTAACCATTTGATTTGTTTTATATACCGACCATATATGTATTTTTGAAAATCCACTTTTTTTAATTTAGTTTTAAAGAAATTCAGGCGCTCAATGTTCATGCATTTCCCAAAAAGAGTTTATGTTTACAAAAAATTTCTATACATAACAATTTGTGTATTCAAATATTGTATTGTAAAATTACTAAAATAGTTAGTATCATATACCATTGATGAAATATCCATCTTCATAATATAATTTGGGTATGATCTCCTTATCTCTTCACCATATGAGAGTTGATACATGTTTTTTGACCCTTGGACATTGGCCTAGGCTAACTTCAATTGTGAACATTTTTTTTGACTTATAATATTAGTTTTCCAATACTCATTTTATGTCCATGAAAATTATCGTTTGTGTAGTGACTACCGATCCAAACATAGATTAGAATTGAACCTGACTTTAAGTTCCCAACACAATTGTGATCACTCTTAAACGATTTAATCTTAAAATAGGTGTTCATCACTTATCTGCAAAGCCCATAACCTAAAGGTACATACTACATACCCTTTGACAACACTTCACTAATAGTCTTAACCGAAGCCTTGTTGGGAGTTGAAAGCGAGAGGGGTGAAATAGGACAAGGGGTATTTTTTTTAATTACTTTTCTAGTTCCACTGAATTCATTCATTTTGGATGAGACTAAAATTTAACAAATTAATCTCATTTGACTTGATCGATATCTTTTTTTTTTGTTTCATGTTACTTGTTTTTGTTCCATTCATAACATTTGTGTTTCTAGTTTCTTGTTTCTGTTCCATTCATACAAAACGCAACTTTTAAAATATTGATATCTTATGGTCTGTGTGTGTCCCTCGCTAGCTTGATCTCATTATGCAAAACTAAATGAATAGAATATTTTGTAACATAACATACTTAAAGACAAAACACACTTGCATAAGTAACATCACATTATCTCCATATCGCCTTCTTTCTTTCTCTACATAAAATTCTTAGTTTATGCCAACAATAATCGCAGCAAATTTAAACCTTGGTCTCAAGAAACGGGTAATCTGTATACCCAATAACCGGATCCAGCGAATAAAACGTCTCCCTATTAGGCTTATTAAGCGGAGCCCTAAGCTCAAACCGTTTCGGCAGATCCGGATTCGCCAAAAACAAACGACCATAAGCAACAAGATCCGTCCGATTCTCCGCCACCGCCGTATTCCCGTCTTCCATATCAAAACCACCGGCCGAAATAAAAGTCCCGTTGAACGCTTTCCTCATCGGGACAAGACTATGCGGACTTTCAACTGTTTCCCCCACCGATTTCTTCATCCTCGGTTCCACCATATGGCAATAAACAATTTTATATTGATTCAGAGACTCCGCCATGTAAAGACCTAAAGCTTCCGGATTCGAATCAGCAGCTTCCATGTACTCCGCGAATGGGGATAGTCGGATCCCGACTCGATCCGGTCCGATCTCGTTGACGACCGCCTCGACGATTTCCAGAGCGAATTGGCAGCGGTTTTGTAAAGAGCCGCCGTATTGATCGGTCCGGTCGTTCACTTGATCTTTCATGAATTGCTCGATCAGGTAACCATGAGCGCCGTGGATCTCAACTCCGTCGAAACCTATATATGTTTTACACAAAACAAGTTAGGGTTGTACGATGGTTAAAATTGACCTTACAATGGTTCTTATTATATTTAGAGGTAATCATCTTACCAGCTTCAATTGCATTTCTTGCAGCAATTCTGAAATCATTAACAACAAGTGGAATCTCCTCTGTAGTTAGCTTCCTTGGTGGTGTAAACTTTGCAACATCAATTCCATTGCTTCGTAGTTGAGGAAATAGTTCTTTGTCAGAAGAAGATATTGGCGCTTGCCCATTTGGCTGAAAACCTGCTCAACCAATGAAAATCTAAGGGTAAATTGAAGGAAATAGCAGCATACTACCTAATTATGACATTAACTTCAGATGATTTTTATTAGGACATTATACTTTTTTTTTAAGTTATACATAATTATTGAAGTATGTTGCTATTTCTTTGCATAAACTCAATCATACCAGTATTTGAAACCCTTCCAACATGCCAAATTTGACAGAAAAAGATTCCTCCTTTTGCATGAACAGCATCCACAATTGGCTTCCATGCCTCTACTTGTTCCTTTGTCCATATACCTGGTGTTTCTGGATACCTTATACAGCAACAAACATGTTTATCAACAAAACTAATTTCTCCATCATCAACAATGAACTATTTCGAAATATCTATCCAATTCCAGCATTGATATTTCAGTATTGTTGTTAAAACATTCTACTTTGAAAATTCTTCTAATCATAGTATTTAAAATTGTTTTGTATTTGGATGACAGCACCACAATTGGATTGGGTAGATTTTTTTAAGTATTTTATAATAGGAAGAAGTGAAAGTAGGATGCTATAATTAGTGGAATGTCTTACATATCCCCCAAAATGACAAAAAAGGAAAATTTATGAATCAAAAGTCAATCACATAATAAGTAATAATGATGACAGGTTATACACATAATTTGAAATGCTGAAATATTCGTTTGCCAAAAAAGGAAATGTTGAAATATTCGTTTGCCAAAAAAAGAAATGCTGAAATATTCGTTATAAAGACCATCATACCCTTGGGCAGTGTCGGAAACACCAGTCGCTTCTGAAATAAGAAGGCCTCCTTTTGTTGTTCTTTGTGAGTAATATAAGATTGCATGCGGCTGAGGGACATTCCCATAGGATCTTTGCCTTGTTAGAGGTGCCAATACAACTCTGTATAAGTTAATATAAGACAAGAGACATGAATCAGATCATTTTCAACTTTATGAATTCAATTGGACAAGAAAAAAGAAAAACGATATTTTCTAGATAGTAATAGTAATAGTAAAAATAAAGAAAATATTCTTTTGTTCTTCTGTTCTCACAAATATAATCCAAAAAAAAAGAGAGATTTTCTGGGTGAAATTCCCAATATTTCAATAAATGCGACTTGCTAGAAAGGGGGTGAAGCAGGTAGAGAAGCTACAATTAATTATCCTAATATGAAGTTAGCCGAGAATTTCCAAAGTAAAGTAAATAAACTCTTTGACATTTTATCAAACAGTTCATGTGCAATTCGATATAAATGATTATCAGTTCATAAAGTTATTTAAAAAAAAAAAAAAAAAGATGAACCCAAAAAAGAAAGAGAAAACATGTATATAACCACCTGTGAGAAAGCTCAAATTTGCCCATTTTGTAAGGGGTGAGAAGAGGCATCTTCTCTTCTTCGACCTGTTTTTCTCCTTCTTTCTCGGCCATTTTTCTTCGGGTGTTGATTCAAAGATTGTTTTGAAGAATTGTTATGTATCAGAGTATCAGATCTCGAAGAAGTGGATTCTATTTATAGATGCCGATTTTGGTAAAGGAATGGCGGAGAAAGCAGACACACACGCAGAGAAGGAGCAACTACCTTATGTCATGGCCCAACAATGAGTCAAAGACTATAATACATTATTTTGAAATATAACAACTTTGGCCCCTTAACTTTGGTTTCCTTTTCGAAAATTCTATCAATCTTTTGATTATTAAACAAAGGCACTAATAATCAGCATTGGTGTCATGTATACCCCTTTTGATCTAATAAATATACATTACATTTTATACATTTAATTAGTATTTGTAAAATAATGTAACATAACATGTTAATGTTAAGTTATACAATTTTAAATAAGAATTGTTTAACGAAACAAAAACTGAGAAATTAAATGTTTGTATGTAATAAATAACTAGTATATAGTAAGTCTATACGTTGCCACGGAGAATTCATTTGCAAATTGCACAATAAAAGTATAAAATAAAGTTTCGATCGAAAAAATTACGTATTGAAGAGACGAACAAAAATAATATTCAATCAACTAAAAATTATAATAATAATAAAAAGTAATATTATATAAAACGATAATTATGAAAAAAAAATGTAAGAAACCAAAAGCATAACTTTAAAATATATTAAGAGACCAAAAACATATAAAATACCAATAATTTAATTTTAAAATGGTAAGAGATTGAAAATTTTAGATGAAAACTAGGTAAAGGAAATAATAATAAAAAACAAATGAATAGTGACCTCTCTCAGTCGTCATTGCAAAATAATAATATATGTATAAGTACGAATTTTACCTAGGAGTTTTATTAAAGATAATTGATAAATTGTTTTGTCAGTATAGATACTTGTTTTGTTAACTGATGCAATAGTTGCAAATGTATTTTACCTTATATGAACATTTTACCTTATATGAATTTCATAATTAATTATTTAAATAATAAATTTGAAAGCTCTTTACAAAGTATTTGAATACAATAAGAAAAAGAATCCAGGTCAAAGAAAATCTGAAGTCATAATGAAAAATAAAAAGTAGAATAGTGTGAAAGAAAGTATAAAAAAAAATCTATAAAAGTAAAATAAAATATATGGAAGGGTGCCTTGCCAAGTGACTCTCAAAACCATTTTGCCTTCTTTGAGAACTTTTACTTACCACTTGCCACGTGTCACATATTTCATATCCAATGTTCAATATTAGCTTCAAATGAACATAAATCTTCCTCACAACCTTATTTTGCATATATATATATATATATATATATATATATATATATATATATATATATATATATATATATATATATATATATATATATATATATAATTGTAGATTGTTTGTGTAGTTTTTTATATAAATAATAAATCGGTGTTGATTTTCAATGTCAAAATAAACCTATGTTTTTCTTTAAAATAAGGTTTTGAAAAGAATGTAGTGTGTTCTATAATCTAAACTATACAAGTTTATTAAACTGTAAGTTATTTTGAATCCGATGTACAAATTTAATGTACTTTAGTATTATATTATAATAACTTTTAAACAAATGTGCTTTTGAGATATAAAAAAAACCATTTACCTTTGTTAACTCTAAAAAAACATACACCTGTTATTGATTTTAAAAATTAAAAAGGATATATAATGCGATTATATTTGTCGGGCTTTTGAATAAATGTGGAATAAGGGGAAGATACAATCTACCAAGTTGGGTTTCCATTGCGCAAGTGATGACATAACCAAGGAAAACGACATTTGTGAAACATGTGCTTTTTTCTCATATTTCATTTAGTAGGATCAAAGTTCTAAACTTCTCACTTTGGCCACTAGACTTTACTATTGGTGTCAAAATGACCATATTGATAAATGTGTTTTACGATAAAATCTTCCACTGAATTAATTAATAAACCGGAGTTGCTACATTCGTCACAACTAGCTTTTTAGTTAATTTTTACCAAACGTTATTTTTTATCAGCTAGTTTTTCAGCTATCAACTTGTTTTTAAATTAACAACTAGTTTTTCAGCTAACAGTTAGTACGTCAAACATAACCTTAATCTTATGTGCATGTGGGGCACATCATATGAATATGAGTAATGCTTATTTAAGATAACCATTAAAAATTAGAATATCTTTTTAGAGTTAGTCCATTAAAATGTAATAATTTTCATTATCAAAGAGTATTTTAAATGAAATTATTCAATGATCATATTTAGTAATAGTAATTTCATGGATCAAACATAATATGAACATTTAAGCCGTTAAAAGCATTTATGATATTATTTTTTTATAGACAACCAAAAAATACTTTATTATAAAAAGCTAGCTAATTTAGCAAAAAATTAACGAAAATATTTTAACTTGTGAGGACACAATATTTTTACGTATAAACTTAAAACATGTAACTCTAAAAAAGATATCACTGAGTAAATTCAAAAACTTGAATATGTGAAACTTGGTTAAGATAAAATTTTATAAAAGCAAGAATAAACCAAATATGGTTGAATGGTTTAAGATGTATGATTTCCGATGCTTAAGGTTACATTTGGCAAATTAGCAGTAGCTGAAAACGTAATTGATAACTGAAAATCTAACTAATAACATATAAGCAAGGGCGGAGACAATACTGGGGCATGCAGGTGTGCGGCTCCTGCCAACTTTTCTGGTGACTCTTTTAAACATAAATTTCATCACCTTAGCCACCTTAGTCAGCCAACCCATATAGCCCAAACTTTTTAAAAAAAAAAATTAATAATTTTACTTATCACATGAAAATCTAGTTACATCAATTACATAAATAAACAGATAACTAAAAGTTACGTTATTTATTCATCTACTTTTTATTTTGTTAAAATTATTGCTATATTCAATTATTTTCAAAGATACATGTTGTCGATGTATGTAAATATTATATTATTATTATATTAAAATACACATATGAAATTACAGTAAATTACTACTGAAATTAAGAATGACTCAAATTTAGATGTTGGTGTGATAATTATGGTTTTTGAAATTCGTTTTGATTTTTGATTGTGGTTGAAAATAAAAGAGATCAATTTTTATTTAAAATCTGATATTGAAGCTAAAACCTATAAGCTATTTTTTGCTAACTACCAATGATATATTTTGTTTTAAGGCAATCATGTTCAAAACTTTTATGAGTTCATCCTAATTAAACTAAATAGTGGATACTTTTTTTTTAGATTTAACTTCAAAACATAGAAATATCACTTGGCTGAATAGAAATAATTGTTTATGTTTTTAATCGGTTATACTCAAATGATTGTTTTCAAAATTTGAGTCAATTTAATATGTAATTTGGAAAATATAATTAAAGTCTTATACTCATGCAAGCCCCTTACCAAATTTTCGCTCTGCCACGACATATAAGATATCTGAAAAATAACATTTGATAAAGGTATCTAATAAATTAGCTAAGAAATATAAACTTTTATATATATATATATATATATATATATATATATATATATATATATATATATATATATATATATATATATATATATATATATATATATATATATATGATTCAATATTATAAGATAAATATGTAATACATTTTATTAAATTATAGTAACTAAATAATATTTGTCCAATCAAATACGTTTAAAGTATCTAACATATCATATTTATGTGTCTGTTAAATTTATGTTTTATATATAAACACAAATTATACTATATTACAAAGGAGAGACTTTTTTTATTCTAAGATTCAATGTAAATAATGTCTAATTTATTAGGCCAACATGAAATTAATGGAAGTTACATACTAAACAAAAAATATATGATTTTAACTTTATAAATAAAACAAATTCATTAAATTAAAAATAATATTTTAAATATATAAAGAAATACTCTAAGATTCAACGGGAATAAAACCAAGTTTGGTTTAAGTGATTTTCAAATAAAAGTTGACGCATACCTATAAGATTTGACGCAAGTATTTTTTGAATTTTATATTTTATAATTAATAAAAGTTATATTTGAAAAAATTAAAATAAAAAAATAAAAAGGTTGTAATCTCACAGAAAAACTACTATGAATAGTTTTGTAAAATTGTAACTTATGCTCATGGATACAGTAAGTACCACGATTTGCCACGGTAGACCAAGGGAACACCGAAACACCGCTCCCACCCTGGGTCTTCACTTACGTTTGACAACACGCGACTAGAAATTGTCACACTCCTCTATTTTCTAGTTTTTACCGTTCTTTCTCTTTCCTAACACTTTTAACGTTCAAAAAACCCATTTTTTTTAAATCTATAAATAAAATTTTAAAACACATAATTTACCACACCTAAGTCTAATTCGTATATCTCTTTATATCTATTTCTCTCAAAATTACTAGAAAAATGTTATGATGTTCTTCTTTTGAAGAATTTCAAGTTATTCTTAAAGTTGTTGTCGGTGCTTTTAAAACAGTGCAACAAACATATAATGTTTTATGTAATGATCACGTGCATATGTGTGTCTATATATATATATATATATATATATATATATATATATATATATATATATATATATATATATATATATATATATATATATATATATATATATATATATATAAAGGTTATAAAAATCGTTCGGCGGTAAACTGACGATAAACGATTAATCAGACTTGGCGGGGGATTAACCGACGATTAATCGGGGAACCTAAATTATTAATAAAACTATTTAAAAAATTAATATTTCCTAAAAAATTAAGTATTTGGAAATTTTAAATTTAAAAATTTTAGCATAATATTATAAAACTTGAAAGCTTAAAATTTTTAAATTTTAAAATTTTGGTGTAATATTTGATTTTTTTTTTTTTTTGAAATTTTTAAATATTTCTCGCCTATGACTGCCAAGGATCGTCAAGCCTGAGTTTGACCGATTTTAACCAATTTCCGCTAAGCACCCTAATCGTAATCAGTTCAAGACCGTCAAGCGATTAATCGACCGCCAAGATTGATTTCTGCAACACTGATATATACTAGACGTACATCCAATTTCACCCCTACAAAAATGCACAACCGTACTTCGTCAATTACATATGGTATCTCTTCTAATGTGTTGGAC